CCAAGAACGCGATGAGTCGACTGTCAAAAATATGGAAGGACCGATCTTTGTCCAAAAAACTCAAAATGAGACTGGTACGGACACTCGTTTTTTCAATCTTTAATTACGGTGCCGAAACATGGACAATCAGAGGATAGGAAAAGGATTGACGCATTCGAAATGTGGTGCTGGAGACGAATGCTACGCGTCTCGTGGACGGAGCACAGATCCAATCAGTCGATTCTCGAAGAGCTAAACATTCAGACCAGACTCTCCTCTCAGTGTCTTGCAAATGTTTTAAAGTTTTTTGGCCACATTGCGAGAAGAGACAATGACAACTTAGAAAGACTAATTGTGTGCGGAAACGTAGAAGGACGTAGAGGCCGAGGACGCTCACCTATCCGATGGTCAGATCAAGTACAGAAAGCCACTGGAGAGACGTTTTCCGAGTCCATGAGAGCAGCCCAAAATCGCAAGAGATGGAGAGAATTGACAGCCCGCATTGTAGGGAATCACGATCCTCAGCAATGAGGAAACGACAAGAGTGGGGAGAGATGCATACAATAGAAATATAATTTTTTTCTAGCTAAGTCTATAACGTCCAGGTTCCGTGTATGACTATAATGGCCGTCAAGAATGAGTAACACGGGATCGTATTTTTAGGGTTTTAAGGTTTTACATGATTGATAAATTGTTACATCCATCGCGTAAAGATGTGGCTTTGTATCAATCCTGAAGCGAATTCATATTTTTGCGTGGAAATACAAATAACGAAGGAACGAATCTTCCGGCAGCTTTCATGCACGTAGCTATAGTTACCAATGTCCCTCTTTCTGCAACAGTTACGGCTATTACTTGTTTTTTTTACTTGTAGGATGATGACCCTAACAATCTTGGATTGTACAGTGGTGATACCTGTTTCATCAACACAATACACTCTTAGGGGGTTGAAATTTATCTTCTCCATAGCTGGTTATAGAATATCAAAAAAATGGTTGATATTTTGTGGAGTAAAACATTTTATTCTGTTTTTTGAAATCCCCTGCGGTTTTCTTACAGATAGATTTCGGAGCCACTTTTTACCGGCATTACCTTCTCTTTCCGAAAAGAGATGGGAAAGGTTATTTCTGATAGCAAGCTGGTATGCTAATCTGCCAACGTCTACAAGTACTAGACCATAATATCTTCTGTCCATTCCCAAACAGTACTGTACCAAATCTTCCTCAATTTCTGCTGATAAAACTTGTTTTCGGCCCATTCGTAGGGCGCATTGTTCTTTTGAGTCTTTGCCATGTTTGACATATAGCTCGATGGTTGATTTGGGAACGTTGAAGCATTTTGACGCCTTTAAGTATCCCATTTGTTTACTTTAAACAACATCAATATCATTTTTCATATCTTCTGGATTTCATTTTTTATGTGGTAGTAGTTTTGTAGGCATTTTACTGAAAAAAAAGTGTAGATAAACATGTTTTGAATCACATATAAATAGGTTCCTAATTTTGGATATCCAATTTTAAGATACCTTTCGTATCCAAAATTAAGCAACCTTCATGTTCAAGGTTATGTGATTAAAAGAAAAAACTATTTGGCAGATATGTTCAATTTAAATATTGAATCTTATTCTACAACTATTTAAGAATATACCTGCCAAATTTCACTTTAATACTGTCAGTACTTACCTTTTTATAACAGTTTTCAGTTGGATAAACAACAAACTCTTATCACAAGAAAATATATAATTATATGTTTCCATCTAGTGCTATACAATGGAATTATATGATTTACACAGAACCATTTTGTTAGAAACATCCAATATTAGGCAACTATCCAATATTAGGTGACTTTCCTCTAGATGTCTGTCATTTGTCAACTCCTCTCTTCCAGTAACAAAGCTTTAATTTTAAATAAGGCATATGCCATAGGGATGATTTTTTTCATATTAACTCGATTCTTGAAAAGAAGTATCAGTTTATTGAAAGTGTTACACTTCTTAGAAACTACTTAACGCCTATGTTTTGCTAATGTCAATTTCAATGTTTGCCTGTCACATTAAAAACTACAATAAAACGAAATTTGCAACATTAATAGAAATCCACAAGGAAAATGAAATTCCTGTAGTTGGCTATATACCATGAATCACAAAAGTTTAATTTAAAAATCCTTTATGAAAGGTATATAATTAAGAAGATCCTTTCAGGCTACATCACATAACATTTTAGGACTAAAAGTACATCATCAATGTATTATTACCAGGTATGCATGAGTCAAGCCACTAAATATCTGGATAGAACCGTTAAAATAGTACAAAATTTATTATGTGTTACATGTTTGTTTAAAAGATATACTTTAACATATACTTGTTAATGTTACTTCTACTTCCAGTAACAGTAAGACGTGTTTAAACAAATTTCTATTGTCTAGCTGCTGGTGGTTCACTTCAAACGAAAAACATTTAATAAACTTGAAAAACGCCTTTGAACATTAAGCACAACGTCCATGTTGTGAGACCGCTCTTGTAGAAAAAATGTTTCTGATCGGTTTCTTTGCGGATTTCTGTTTAAAATGTCCCCTTTAAACAAATCTGAAGGGTGCAGGGCGAAATGTTTGGCCAAAAATTGTTTAAACAATTTTTTTTTAACAAATTTTAAAAATCACAATTTGTACCATTTTAATAGGAATAAGCAAAATAAAAAATGTTACTATTTTATATAAAAATATGATGGAAAGGAAGATATTAAATTTTCTCTAAAAAACAAGAAATTAAAGAAGATGAAGAAAAACTATGGTAGTATATTCCATGTAATTATAAACTAACTCGAAACTAACCTGGAGATCCAAATCCAAACTGGTAAAGTTAAAACTTCTGGCTACAATCTGCTATTCTATATTATAAGATAGGAAGCTACGCCATTTTATACCATCTTATGAAGCAACTTGTGCTCTATATTTCATTAAAGCTGCAACACACAAAAAGGCTCCTAGTGTTATATACTCAATTCTTTTGCTTCATTCACAAATAATCGAATAACTTAATACATACTATGCATAGTCCAAAAAATGAAATTATTCTTAAAAGAATCCAAAAATATAATTCGCAGCTCTATCTGGCTCATTACCGAAGTGTGGTTTGTATATTTCAAATGCCGACGAAAGACAAGCTAAAATGGAACTCTCTGATACTTAACCCATTACCTGTCAATACACAGAACCAAAAATGTTTCAATAGTGAAACCACGAAACCTTAAACAGGCTTAATAGATATGCAACTATTTATACATAGATGTACAGACCTTTAATATCATATAAGGCGTTAATCCTTTTAAAATGTAACACTCTCTCACCTCTTTAAAACTATACTCTTTCCCCTCATTATTGATGGTAGTATTTAGTATTTGTAACCTGTGTCCTCGTTAAGAATAGAATAGAATAGAATAGAAAAATGCACTGAGTATGTTTCAATTCATATGGCGTTCGTTGATTTCCATAAAGCATTCGATTCCAACGAATTATGGGCAGTGCTTGAATCTCTAGAAAATGCACATATAGATTCAAGATACACTAACATAATTAAAAACATATATGAAAATGCCAGCATGCAGATAAAGCTGGACGAAAGCACAAAAACTAATCCTATAAGACTACAACGGGGAGTAAGACAAGGAGACATTATCTCTCCCAAACTATTTACCCTTGCTCTAGACGACATTTTTAAGAAACTAGAATGGAACAACAAGGATATCAACGTCGACGGATCATACTTAAACCACTTGAGTTTTGCAGATGACATAGTTTTAATAGCCGATAATATCCAAGAACTAAATGATGTGTTACAACAATTAAATGCAGTTTCAGGAGCGGTAGGCTTAAAAATGAACTACAGTAAAACAAAAATAATGAGCCGAGACCAGACAAACATAACAATATAAAATCATACCATAGAAAATATTGAACATTATGTATATCTAGGTTATGTCATCAAACTAGAAAAACCAAAGCAAGATACTAAAATTAAAAGAAGAACACAACTGGCATGGGGCGCTTTCGGCAAACTAGCATATATCTTGAAAAACACCTTCATTTCTGTAAACTTAAAGAAAAAGTTGTATAACACATGCATACTACCAGTTTGTACCTTCGGCTTGGAGACAGTAGCCCTTACCAAAAAATCTGCTAAAAAAATAGAAACAACGCAGAGCATTGGAACGAATCATACTTGGTATATCACTTAAATTTCAAACACCGAGATAAGACGTAGAACAAAGGTTAGGGATGTTATGCTGGAAATTAAAAAAATGAAATGGCGCTGGGCAGGTCACGTAGCTCGATATAAAGACAACAGGTGGACACGAAGAATTCTAGAATGGAGACCAAGGACGATAATAAGAAGCATGGGAAATCGTCAAAAAGATGGGTAGATGACATAAGAGCAGTGGCAGGCAAACAGTGAATTAGATTGAAGCGCAAGATAGAGAGATGGAAGCAATTGGGAGATATCTATATTCAGGAATGGATGGAACATGGTTGACAAAGAAGAGGGAAGCGTCCTCATTAACATTTCGTTAACATTTTCATATACTCTGCTTTCTACTCGTTAATAACAATACCATATTGTTTTGCATTTTTCTCAAATAATTTGAATATTCTCAGTTATTTCCTCTTTGTTCTTGCTACTAGTATTACATTATCGGTAAACGCCAGTACCTGGTATTTGTTACGATAGATCATTCCTTTCGTACGTATTCCGCTTTCCCTAATTACTATCTCGATACGTATCCTTTTTACTAACCTATAATGAGAAAATATTTCTTGTACATATTCTTTTTCATTTTATACAGTTCTTATGATTTTGTACCTACTAAGGAAGCAGTAGAGATTTGTTAGGAAAGTATCGAGAAACTTAACTGCAGTCAACAAAAAGTACCTATGACAGTTTACAAGATAGTTCATAATAGATTCTGTCAAATAACTTTATTTGTCAGTTTATATTATATGTTTAATTTGTAACCTTGATTTTGTAGGTGCAATGAGCTCCGTCAGCTCGGTAGTAAGTTCAACAGCCGATGATCACAATTCATCCGAATCTGAACATGAGACAGAAGATTCTTCTGTCAAGAGTAAACGAGATGTCGACTTAAAACTTGATCTTGATGTCTCAGAGCCCGAACGAAAAGCCATAGTTCTGCAGCAAGACTCGTTTGAAGATGAACTACCTTACATTCCAACTACACTGCCACAGGAAAGATCTGCTGCAATACCAATAGTTCCAATAAAGCAACGATCGACTTTTGAGATTAAGACTTGCCCCATAGAAAGGCCAAGGTCTACCACACCTATTAACCCTAGTTGTTTAGATGAATACTGTGAAGAAGTAATGGGTTCCTTTAATATCGAAAGTGTAACAAAAACTATAGAGAAGCTTAAAATATCACTACCAAGAAATGAATCTTTTGACAAAACGAGTAAGGTTAAATCTCCAAGAAAAAAGGATTCAAATACAAATTGGTTTGAATTTGCTGAAAAGGGTATAACAAAATCAACTCCAAGCGAGACTCCACCTCCTTTGCCGCCTAAAGGAATCCAAAAGAGCTGGATAAACTTCGAAGATATTCCGGAAAAAAGAAAAACTCCAAAAAGGATACAAACTCTTCCTTCAAGGAGTTATATTGAAGTACCAGAAAGCGTGTTACAAGAAAGTGTCGTGTACAATTACGTTAATCCTGATGAATGTAAATGCGAATGTCACGAGATGAATGCTAAAGACAAAGAAAGACGAACAAAGGAATCCCAAGAAGCAGTTCAGGAACAAGTTCAAGAAGATGAACTTCCGCTACTGGAAGATGAAAATCCAGAAGAAGATAAAACTGCTCCGGATTGTTCAGATAGGATTAAGCTTGATGTCGCTGTTTCAGATTGTAGAAGTATTATTAGGTAAGTGCCAATTATCTCAATACAGTTTATTATTACTATTAATATTCGGTATCTTAAACTTGAAATTTTGTTTGGTGAAAATCGGTACATTAAAAGTAAAAATTTAATTTGTATCTAACGTTACTTTTCAGATACAAACTCTTAAAATATTTCCATATTTTATATCTCCTACTTTAGTGAATTTGAATTATTTTTTTCTTTTGTTTTTTTTTTTTTGTTCATTGGGTTTTAGTTATTTTATATCCTTTTATAGGTCGTAGATGCTTCACTTAAATAAGTAAGTCTTCATATTTCTGAACGCATTATTAGTCAATAGTATCTCGTTTAATTTAAAACTTTAATTTATCTCAGCACTATCATATTTTTTTAAATTTTCTTCCATTTAATGATACATCATATCACTAATTTTTTATTCGTAGTATTCTTTCTTTATTAACTGAAAGGAATGTGTATTTTTTTAGTGGTTTATTATTAGGATTGCTTCCAAAAGTGCTTTCTCAAAATATCTTATCGAATTTATTATCGCATTATGTAGACTAATTTATAACCACTCCCAAGAAATTAATGCACCAAATGTTAACAATTTTTTTAATTATCTAAAACTTTATCACTAGAATGAACTTAATAAAAGATTTAATAATTTGTGATTTAAATGAAATAAAATTCGATATGTATGTTTCACACTAACTCATTCATACCTTAGTGATTCCCTTCCCTGGTGATGCCCTTCAAAATTCCCTAGTGATTTTTTTCGTGTATTATTTTAATCACGAAACTTCTATGGTATTTTAAATGTAAAAATAATACCCAAAATCTTATCAGTATAGTAACTCAATTCTTGCAACAATGCAAAACTCAATTCTTGCAACAATGGAACCGACGTAAAAAGATTTTTAAAATAAAGTTTATTAATTTTTTTAAATTGCATGTGATCAATTAGACCTAGAATAATATCACTCCGTTGTTCTAGACCAGTTTGAGGAAGACAACTATAAGCCACAATGTAAAATGAAATCGTAGGCTTCCACGGCCAGAGTCAGAATTATAGTTTATTCGTCTTTCGGGTTTGGACCGTGTCATTTGTGAGTGACCCAAAAGTGGGTTCATCTCGACGTTTCGCTACAATTGTATGTAGCTTCTTCAGGAAAACAAAGAAAAAAAATCAAAAGACAGGAAGATGGGTAGTTAGCAACGGTAACTCAGTTACTCAACGCAACCAGAGGCGAATACTAACTACCAAGATGGGCATTTGGTCACAGTAACTCAACTACTTAACGCAGCCAGAGGTGAAAACCAAATGCCAGGACAGGGATTCACGTCCAACAGCTCAGAACACTAACCGTTCTATTTATATTAGTCCTACTTCACTTGTTGCTCCTTCCACCTTGTTGAAGATGTCTTTCGTGGATAGGATGGAGTCTCCAACGAGATCTATGTCATCTGCATATGCGAGTCTACTGTTGATTTCGAAGCTTCCAGACAGTTTATAAATTCCACCCTTCATACAGACTTTGGTCATCCGAATGAGTTTCTTTGGTATTGGGAACTCCGCCATGGCATTCCATACTTGGCTTCTTTCTACGCTATTATATGACTGTCGAAAGTCTATGAAAAGATTGTGTATGGGTCTGTTATACTCCCATCCCTTTTCTAGAAGTTGTCTTAGCGTGAATAGTTGATCTATTGTTGATCTGTTTGACCTAAAACCGGCTTGATATTCGCCTAGGACATTTTCAGCATAAGGGATTAGTCTACTAAGAATGATGTTTGAGAGGGTTTTATATGCCGTGTTTACGAGTGAAATTCCTCTATAATTCGCGCATTTTGTCTTGTCCCCTTTTTTGTGGATAGGCACTATTATGTTTTCTTTCCATTGTGCTGATATTCTTTCTTCTAACCATATTTACATTATTAGCTGGTAGATTTGGCGATGTAGTGCGTCTCCCCCATATTTTAGAAGTTCTACTGGTATCTCGTCCGTACCCGGCGCTTTGTGATTTTTTAGCTTATTTAAGGTCTTTTGGGTTTCTTCAAAGGAGGGATTTTTGACGGGTATGTCCGCTGTGATATGGATCTCTTCTTTGTGCTGTTCTTCCTGTATGATGTTTAGAAGGTCCCTAAAATACTCTTTTCATTCTTCAGTTACTTCTTTACCGTCGCTTATCATACGGCCTTGATTGTCTCTCAGTGTATGGATGGAATTGGTTCTCTTTTCTCAGATGAAATTGCTTTATAGAATTCTCTGGAGCCTTGTTTGGGCCGGTCTCTTTCCATAGCTTCATATTTTTGTTATTCATAGTTTCTTTTCTTTGTGCGTATTATTTATCTTGTTTCTTTTCGGCAGTCGTCATATTCCTTTTTACTTTGGTCTATTTACAGTTGTATCCAAGTCTTCCTTAGTGTTTGTCTTTTTTTCAGCTGTTTCCGACATTCCTCGTCATACCATGTTTTTGCCCTCTTCTGCCTACTCCTTCCAAAGATCTTGTCCGCTGTCTTGGTTATTATTTCGGCAGTAGTTTCCCATAGCTGTTCTATATCATTGTATTCTCTTTCATAGTTTAAGTTGTTCTCTATAGTTAAAATTTTATGCATTATCCAAAAATAGAAAGACAAAAGATAGGTGCTTACCTTATCCACAAAACATACACTGGAGGGTTACTGAGAACTAGCAATAATAAAGAATTGCAAAATCTGCTGATGTAGTTGACTACAATAAGCATAAAGCCTACATTGATCCTTTCAGATCAAATGAAGTTATATAGCACCTCATTATGCAGATAAGTTAAGTAGTAACGCAAGCTGGCCATTGAGTTTCTTATTGGTTTTGCATTATTCGATGCACATATTTGGCATTAAGTATTAGTCAATGATGGTTTTAGAAAGGGATTCAGCACAAGTGACCATTTACTAAGTATGAAAATACTTAGTAAATGGTCACTTGTGCTAAAAATAGAACGAGCAAATGAATACCACATTCCTCTATATATGGCGTTCATAGATTTCGAAAAAGCTTTCGACAGTGTCGAACATTGGGCAGTGAAAAGTTCTTTGATTAAAGCCGAATTGACCACAGATATACGGAACTAATAACCAATATATATATAAGGAAGCCAAAACAACAATTAAAGTATATGAAGGAACAAAATCATTACAAATAAGTAGAGGCGTGAGACAGGGTGATACAATATCACCGGAACTTTTTAATCAGGCTCTTGAAGATACTTTTAAAAGATTGTAATGGGAAAAAAAAAGCTAAAAAAATTTGTGGACAACGCTTGAACCATCTAAGGTACGCTGATGACATCGTATTGATAACCGATAAAAAAGAAGAATTATTTGAAATGATGAAAGAACTGGACGTAGAAGCTGGAAAGATAGGCCTTAATATGAATTACAGCAAGACCAAAACTATAACAAATACAGATGAAGACATCACAATGAAAATCGGACAAGATGAGATAGAACAAAAGGATTATATATATCTTGGTCAAATTATAAAACTTAACAAAGAGAACCAAACAGCAGAGATCAAGAGACGAGTTAGACTGGCATGGGCGGCATTTGGCAAACTAAGCTACATTCTTAAAAACAAAAGATATCCACAGCATCTTAAGACCAAAGTATATAATCAATGCGTACTCCCTGTTCTTACTTATGGTTCCCAAACGTGGACATCTACAAAAGCAAACATGGACAAAATCATAAAAACCCAAAGAGCAATGAAAAGATGTCATTAGTCAATGTTGCACATAAGACTAATGGATAAGAAGAGAAACGAGTGGATAAGAGAGAAAACAAAAGTGAGGGATGTTAGACAAGAAGTTGCAAAATTGAAATGAAGATTTGCCGGACACAATATAAGACAAAAAGAAGACCGATGGAACAAAATTCTTATAAGTTGGAGACCGTGGGAATATAAACGAAGCAGAGGAAGGCCCCAAATGAGATGGGCAGATGATATCAAGAAGCACGTGGGATCTAGATGGATGACTGTAGCGACAGACAGAGAAGAATGGAAAAGGATTGGGGAGGCCTATGTTCAAAGATGGACCGAAGAAGGCTAATTAGGTAGATAGATTAGTCAATGAAAAAATATCCATAACCAAATTCAAGCAGGAAATCGTCAAACAGTCTTTTAGGTTTTAACGTTGACCAGCATATATAAGACGTTTTTGACAATTGTCAAAATTCCTTGTAAGATGTTGGTACCAACAATAGACAATTTAATGCATTAATGATTTATAAATATATTATCAAATTTATCAATTATAATTCAATAATTATAATATATATTACTTTTAATTTCACCAAACTACTTTCCTTGTTATATATGTTACAGAGTGGAACAGCCAAATGGAACAAATTCGATAATGAATAAATTGGTACGTGCTCAAGAAAATGCTCGAACACGTTGATTAGAATTTTTCGTTGTATATTTTTGTAATAAAAACTTCATACAGGGTGTGTTCTGTAACAGTGGCCAATACCATCTTTCTTATTCCAAATACAACACCCTGTATATTATTCTATTTTTGGATTCCTCAGAATATTCTAGACAAATCTTTTATAAAAATCATGAATGTGTTGCTTGTGTGAGTCCATTTCAAATAGGTAAAGAAATAATAAATAAGACTTACAATCAATTTAATTTAACTATCAGACGACCGGTTTCACTTTCTACAATATGCAAAGCATCCTCAGGTCTCGATACAAAGTTAAACAAATGCTGAAATGATAAAAACCCATATTAGGTTGTTGTCTAAAAGTAGATGTTGTAAATTACTGTGGTTTTATTTAAAAGAGTAAGTTGAATAAAAAGTATAAAAGTTTTAAAAGTTTAAACAGACAAGGTAAGGCCCACAAATTGTTATAAAATAGTCTATTAGATTGTAATAAATTAATAATAAATTAATAATAATAAATGAGCAAATAAATAAAATAAACATTACTTACATGCCGGTACTCTATTAATTGATGGACGGTAGAACATGGTTGAAACTACAGTGTATTGTTGAATGGAGAACTCAATTCTGTTATTGCAGTTGTTTGACAGCAAACGGGAAGTTCTTGAGGAGATAGATTTGATCCAATGAAGAAGAGATGTGTTTGTGATTGTTTGTTAAATGAAAGTGATGTAATATACCATTGTATTATTAAAAGTTATTTATACTTATTCGAGAGATATATTTATGAAATGTGTGTTATTTATTGAGTAATTGTTTTATGAAGGTGACAGTTTTATGACAATGAATAAGTTTAGATGTAAAATGTAAAGATGTAAAATGTAAAATGTAAATTACAAGTTGAAAAATAATTGCACACCCACACAATTTTTACATCTAAACTTATTCATTGTCATAAAACTGTCACTTTCATAAAACAATTACTCAATAAATAACACACAATTCATAAATATATCTCTCGAATAAGTATAAATAACTTTTAATAATACAATGGTATATTACATCACTTTCATTTAACAAACAATCACACACATATCTCTTCTTCATTGGATCAAATCTATCTCCTCAAGAACTTCCCGTTTACTGTCAAACAACTGCAATAACAGAATTGAGTTCTCCATTCAACAATACATAGTAGTTTCAACCATGTTCTACCATCCATCAATTAATAGAGTACCGGCATGTAAGTAATGTTTATTTTATTTATTTGCTCATTTATTAATTTATTACAATCTAATAGACTATTTTATAACAATTTGTGGGCCTTACCTTGTCTGTTTAAACTTTTAAAACTTTTATACTTTTTATTCAACTTACTTTTTTAAATAAAACCACAGACATGTAATATTGGCATAATTATTGTAATTTACAACTTCTACTTTGTTTATCTTTATTAGACAATACCCTAATATGGGTTTTTATCATTTCAGCATTTGTTTAACTTTGTATCGAGACCTGAGGATGCTTTGCATATAGTAGAAAGCGAAACCGGTCGTCTGATAGTTAACTTAAATTGATTGTGAGTAAGTTTTATTTATTATTTCTTTACCTAAATCTTCTATACACTATTCTATACCTATCTTTAACTGTTTTGGAAAAACATTATTGCAAAAAGTAACATTAAAAGAAAAGAGTACAGAAACTTGTTACAACACGCTGAAAACCAATAAGTGATACTGTTTATTTCTTGATAATGTAAAGAACAAAAAAAATATTAATATGAATGTAGGAGATGTTCAAAATGCTCGCCGCGAACGCTTGGAAACATCCTAAATTTAAATAGAAATTTCATCTAACTTACTCCACTCCACATCTTATGCGTCACTGATCTAATCGCCATCGCCAAGTTTAATTTACAATACGTACAATATTTTTGACGTATCCTCATAAAAATAAGTCTAATGGAGTCAAATCAGGAGATCGTGATGGCCTTTCCATCGGTCCTTGCCTCCCTATCCACCGATTTCGAAATATTCTTTTTTTAAGCGCCCCCATTTATTTTTTATCGAATTTATTACATTCGGCTGTACCACTCCGTAGATTATATTATTATTATATAGTTATAAATTATTTATATACTTTGGGTGCGTTAATATTTTGGAGCTGTGAGCTTTAGATAGTGTATTAGCATTTTTACAAAAAAAAATAGAAAAGCATTAAACCTACTATTTGTAGACTAAACAATTGCAACTTTTAGTGATTCTTCAGTGGACCTCAGCACAAGTATTGATCCACACGAAGCTAGTGGAACCGAACCTACCCTGCGTACGCCGTTCACAAGTGATTTAGGATTATCCAGTAATAGATCTAGCGTTGTGTCCCAGGTAAAAACGATTTAGAATAATTTAGTAATATAGAAATAAGCTATAAAATATATTTTTTTATTTAGAATAAACGTACTGTATTTATTCTTCTTTATGTGCAAATGAGGGTTTAATAGGAACTCATGGAAATTATGACCCAGACTCGTAATTCACGATTGAGACACGGTTAAATCTATTTCTAGACCCTAGACCTAAATTTAGAAGTCAAAACTTTCTATATGTAAATTTTTGTGCAATTCGCTGAAATCGACTGTGTGAATTGTCAACAATAAACTTGTTGCTGCTGATTGATGCCTTCCTGTAAGATCAATTGCACATTCTAGCTCAGAACCTTTGTATTAAATTTTATAATCGCTGCTGAATCTCCTTTGGGTTCCAACTTTCAGGATAAAAGAATCACTGATAAGTGTCTTTGTGGTCATTTGGATTCGTCACTATGTCGAAATTTAAACGTGTATTTACTGACTTTATTCTCGCTTGTGATCTCTATTAAGATGACTAAAAGATATTAAACCAACTTATACTAAAAAAAGTTGATGCACTAGTTAATTTATAAGAAATAATATCTTGTTTTACTCTTTGAACCAGGCTAACAAGCAAAAAAATGTTATTTAAAGTTTTATAATGAAAAGTAGTAGGTGGTGGTATAATACACAATTGGGGGAGAGGGGTTAAAGGAAGGTGATTTTTTTTTTTAATTCCGGCGAAATTTGATATCCTATCAATAAATTTCAAATGTGAAAGTTGTAGATATTATAAAAATCAAAATCTTCGTTTTGTTGCATAATTTTTTTAACATAACTATTATATCATAATTATTATCAAGTACTCGTCTTCCAGTTTGGACCCAGTTCTGACCCATGTTTGGATGCATCTTCTTCTTCTTATGGTGGCCTATCCAATTAGTGGATGCTTCTCTTCTTTTTATTATTGGCAGCAATTCTCGTTCTCTGCCCATTCGATTTAATACTTCGACATTTGTTGTGTGATCTGTCCAGGGAATTTTAAGTAGTCTTCTAAATAACAACCTTTCAAACGCCTCCAATCGGTTCATCACATTGGCCTTTATGGTCCAGGTTTCTACACCATATAGCAGTATGGAGTAAATGTAACATTTTACAAAGCGATATCGAAGCGTTAAGTTAAGGCTGCTGTTGCTTAGGAAGGTTCTTATATTAGTAAATGCTGTTCTGGCTTGCTCAATTCTGCTACGTATCTCTATGTCTGGATCTAGATCTTCAGTTTTCCAACTACCGAGATATCTGATCTCGGGGACCTTTTGGACTTTCTTATTGTTTACTCTTATATTTAATTGCATATTTTATGTTCTACTAACTACCATTACCTTCGTCTTGTCTATATTAATCTTCAAGCCCAGTCGTTCTCCTTCAGTGTTTATTCTATCTATTAGTCATTGTAGCATTTCTTGGCTATCAGCTATTATGACTGTATCATCAGCATAGCGAAAATTACTAATAGTCTGTCCGTTGATTTTGATTCCATCTTCAGTGTCATTTAAGGCTCTATCGAAAATCGTTTCAGAGTAAAGATTAAAAAGGAGGGGTGACAGAACATAACCCTGTCGTATACCCTTTTTGATTGAGAAATATGATGTAGATTCCAGTCCTACTCTCACAGCTACCACTTGATTTATATAAGGGTTCTTTATGATTTTATGGTCAACCTTATCTATCGAGCGTTTCTGGAGCAATCTTACTAATTCTGAATGATTAACACAATCGAACGTTTTCGAGTAATCTATAAAGCATAGGAAGCTGTATTTTTGCTGATCTCTGCATTTCTCAAGTAGGACAGTTAAGCTATAAAGTGCTTCTCTTGTGCCAATCCTTGTCTGAAACCAAACTGTGTGGGGCTAATGTCTCTTTCACATCTGTTGTATATTCTTGTGTGAATTATCTTTAAGAAGAGTTGTAAGACCTGGCTCAATACGCTGATCATTCGGAATTGGTCGCAACTATTAGCGTTTGGCTTTTTTGGGATTGGTATAAGGGTTGATTGAAGCCAATCCTGTGGTTTTGACCGGACCCATAAATGTCATTAAAAAGATCTACTAAGGCGTCTATATTGTCTTCACTCAACATTGTTAGCACCTCTATGTATATGTCATCTGGGCCTGATGCTATTCCCCATTTACTCTGTTTGATTGCCCTTACAACTTTCGACTTCAATATTTTGGGGAATGGTTCACTTTTATATTTACTTTCAGAGTTTCTTCCAGTGTTGTCTGAGTATAGTTTCCATAATGTTGAAGTAGATCTTTGGGATCAGTAATTAATTTATTGTCCTTCACAATATTGTTAAAACTGGAAGGTTTTGTATGACCTGTCACTTCTTTAACGAGTTTATGTATTTTAAAGTGGTCTGGTTTTTCTTACAATTCCTCCATTTCTGCACACCTGTTTAGCAGCCACTGTTCATTAGCTTTGCGACACTCTTTTCGTATTTGTCGGTTAATCTGCTGATGTTTGGTTCGGTCTTTGTTTTTAAATGATCTGCGGTCGTCCATCATTGATAATATTTCGTCGGTCATCCAATTCTTCTTTTTGTACTTTTGGGACCATACATAAAAAAGGCAGCTTCCATAAATGCGACAATTATAGAACTATCTCTCTTATATCCCATGCCAGCAAGATAATGCTACATATAATCAATGAGAGACTGAATGCATTCCTTCAAAGAGAAATTCCACAAGAGCAAACTGCATTTACCAAAGGTAGAGGCATTCGAGAACACCTGCTGAATATAAGATAGATAATTGAGAAATCTAGGGAATTCAACATCCCACTATACATCTGATTTATAGATTACCCTAAAGCGTTCGACAGGGTCAAGTGGAGACACTTATGGCGAATACTAAAAGAAGTAGGCGTACCACAACATCTAATTACGCTTATAACCGAACTATATGAACACACTACTGGATCAGTTAAAGTACTTGACACACTTTCGAACGAGTTTCATTAAGAAAGGGGTGTCAGACAAGGATGTATACTATCTCCACAACTATTCAACATATATGGGAAGTATATTATGTGAAGAGCACTTGAAGGATGGGAAAAGGGCATCTCAATAAATGGTCATAAACTAAAAAACCTACGTTTCGCAGATGACACAGCCCTTCTTGCAAATAGTCAAGCAGAACTGATGGAACTTATACGACTGATCGAAAACGAAAGTCAAATATTTGGTCTGCAATTGAGCATATCAAAGACAAAGATCATGATAGTGGATCGACTACACAACAATCATCCACGCATAACCACAATTGACCGGTTCGAGGTTGTGAACTCATAATTATATCTGGGATCATTAATCACAAACACAAGGTCATTACAAGAAGAGAATAAACGTAGATGTGATCTAGCAAAAGTTTCCACAGCAAAAATGACCAAAATATGGAAGGACTGTCAAATTTCAAGAGCGATAAAGATGAGGTTGATCGACTGCTTAATATTACCAATACTGACCTACGGATGTGAATCTTGGACTCTGAGACAATCGAAGAGAAGAAAGATAGACGCCACTGAAATGCTCTGTTGGAGACGAATGTTACGAATTCCTTGGACCGACCGTAGAACAAATAATTCAATTTTAAGAGAGCTAAAAGTTAGCCAACGACTCTCTAGTAAAGTCCATCTCCAACAGTTAAAATATTTTGGGCATGTTATGAGAGCAAACACAGAAAACATGGAAAGACTCATAATACAAGGAAAGGTAGAAGGCCGCAGACCACGAGGAAGATCCCCAACAAGATGGATAGATCAAATTACAGGAATATACCAAAGACCTATGCATGAATTAAAAGAAATGACCAGAGACAGAGATCTCTGGAGACGGACAATACACGACATCACGTCGACCACTACACTCCCCCTGGGGGGTAGGATTGAAGAGAGAGAGACTTCTTGCAATTCATTTCTGCATCTCTGATTAATCAATAAAAAATCAATTTGATTTCTTACGATGTTGTCATGCGTATGTTGTGAAGACTGCTAGATGTAGAGTCTCCGAGGTGGTAGTTTGTACCAGGTATTCGCAATGACTAAGTTTTCTTCTTGACAGAACTGGATTAGCATATCACCTCTTTCGATTTGATCTCCCAAACCCAAGTCACCCACGACATCTTCAACACGTCCTCGCCCTACCTTCGCATTGGAATCTCCCATGATTATAAGAGTCTGGTTCTTCTTGATCAGTTTCATTAACTCCTTAATCTCTATTTACAATTGTTTTACTTCATTTTCAGACTTGTCCAAGGTTAGTGCATAGATTTGTATAATGTTAAGGTCAGCAGGATCGGCTTGGACTTATAGTAGTGCTGCCCTATCTGAGTATGCCATGAAGTTCCTTACTGATTTGCTTGAGGCTGTATTAACTAAAAATGCATCTTAATAATTTTTTAAACGTATAAATTGCCTGTTCAGAACCGGGTATTGGTTACGGTAACTCAAGTACTCAACTTATCCAGACGAAAAAAATAACTGCGGGGGAAGATTAACGTAAAGTAGATTTTAGATAAAAAGTTGATTTGGTCTCGTGGACTTTGCCACACTGTGCCATCAAAGAGTAGTGCCACACTGAGCCATCAAGGTTGTGGTTATGAGATCGATAAAATGTATCATTTGCATTCACCTGTCACTATGGAATTTCCATTGTAGGAGCCTAATATTCAAAACCTTTAATATGAAATTTCGATTTTGAGTTTTGGCAACAAATATGAGATATTTGAAATATGTATGCCTAGAAATCGGGTAGCGAATATGAACTCCTCTGATAGTCCTATCAGGTGCAGCACCAAACAGAGTCATAATATATCTTGTCATCGCTTTGAATAGCAGATACAGCTTACAGATAATACATGCATATGCACCGACAGGAAACTCAACAGACGAGGAAGCTGAATCATTTTACGAGGATCTGACAACAGCAAGGAACCAAGAAAAATCACACTTCGTAATAATCACAGGAGATTTTAATGCAAAGATTGCCTTAATCTAGAAGACATTTTTAAGAAACTAGAATGGAACAACAAGGGTATCAACGTCGACGGATCATACTTAAACCACTTAAGATTCGCAGATGACATAGTTTTAATAGCCGATATTATCCAAGAACTAAATGATATGTTACAACAATTAAATGCAGTTTCAGGAGCGGTAGACTTAAAAATAAACTACAGGAAAACAAAAATACTGAGCCGAGACCAGACAAATATAACAATACAAAATCATACCATAGAAAATGTTGAACATTATGTATATCTATGTCATGTCATCAAACTAGGAAAACCAAATCAAGATGCTGAAATTTAAAGAACACAACTGGCATGGGGCGCTTTCGGCAAACTAGCATATATCTTGAAAAACACCTCCTTTCCTGTAAACTTAAAGAAAAAGTATATAACACATGCATACTACCACTTTTAACCTACGGCTTGGAGACAGTAGCCCTTACCAAAAATCTGCTAAAAAATTAGAAACAACGCAAAGAGCAATGGAACGAATCATGCTTGGAATACCACTGAGAGACAAGATTAGAAACACCGAGATCAAACGTACAACGAAGATTAGGGATATTGTGGAAGAAATTACAAAAATGAAATGGCGCTGGGCAGGTTACGTAGCCCGATATCATAACAACAGGTGTACAAGAAGAATTCTAGAATGGAGACCAAGGACGACAACAAGCATGGGAAGACCTCAAAAAAGATAGGTAGATTATATAAGAGCAGTGGCAATCAAACAGTGGATTAGATTGGCGCAAGATAGAGAAAGATGGAAGCAATTGGGAGAAACCTACATTCAGGAGTGGATGGAAAATGGTTGGCAAAGAGATGCATAAAAAACGCTGAATTTAAAACTCCGTTACGATTACACAAATTTGATTTAAAATATCTGTTTTATTTAAATTTAAATTTTTTTTTTGCAAATTGTTTATTCATTTCATTATGAATAACATTACTTATACATTATATTTTTTGCAGGATGATCACCAGTCTCCTGATTCGCCAAATGCCTTTCCAAGAATTTCTTAAATTTAGTAGTACTCCACCATATTTGAAGATATTTTTCTGTGGTCGTTTTTATTTACCTATAGAACAAGAAATATGTCGTCAGTACTTCGTTATTAATTCGAACAATTGTTGTTACGAAGTGTTAGATGCCCTAGATTGGAACTAAGTTTCAAATTAAGTCGGATTTAATTCATTTTAAGAGTTATTTTACGAGTAACCATACTTCTGATACACTTAAATAAATATATCAGTATAATTTAATATTGTATGTATATCTACATCTCAAAAACGTTGGAGAATTTACATAATAGTATTTTTTGATATAGGTTTAAAAAACTAAAATAATTGTAGTATTAAAGATGTAAATATTTTATCAAAAAATTCCAACTAGGTATACAGGTATACTAAACTAAAATCAAAGGTGGTAACTATTACTTGTTAAAACATATATTTGGAAGTTGTAGAAACAGACACACATCTTGAAAGGCGTTGGTCTCCCCCTTCAGTAAATGGCATACGCCGACTCACGTCGATTTAATAATACCTATAATGGATTTACGCGGCCAAAATTATTTTTTAGCATATTTTTACTAAAACTTAAGGAAATCCAAGAAAAATATTGTTTTTTTAAAAATTGGCATGTATTTTTCATTGAAAAAATTAAAATTAAAATTTAAAATGAACAAAAAATGTCCAAGGTTCTACTTGTAAGGTATACCGGAGGAAGTGGAGTCACTAAAATTAAAAATTTAAGTTTAAACCTGCATGGAAAATGAAATTATATATTAAGTTCAGCTGATCACAATATTCAATAGTGCTAAGTATATTGTTCAAATTTATATAGGTACAACGTTGATTTTTTATTTGTAAACAAGAAATATGTGACCAATTTCGTACCAGTCTAGGATAGAATAATATTACTTTAAATAAATACTCAACCATTTAAAACTAACATACTTCAAATCTATGCCCCGACAGCAGATAGAAAATATGACGATGAAGTCGAGAAGTTGTATGATCAGATCCAAGACATCTTACAGAAACTAATTCGTTAACTATTAACTTTATTAAAAGTATTTTATACCAAAATTCAGAAGTATTAATGTTTTTGTCTATTTTTCATTCGTTGCCTGGAGTAATTGCGATAAATCAGAATTATGCAGTTGATTTCTAAAATGCGATTATCTCGAAAACTGTTGAGTTACCTCAACAAAAAAAAATATACAAGACGGTGTTTGTGCTGATTTTAACTTTTGGTAGTGAAAGTTGGACGCAACATAAGTTAAAATTGAAAATACAGAGCATAGAAATGAAGTTTCTTAGAAGAATAATGAATATAACCAGGTTAGACATGATTAGAAATGAGGCAGTCAGAGAAAATCTTAAGCTCCAACCAATTGTTAAACAAACTGAAGAGGCCCAACTGAAATGGTATGGACACATGGTTAGAAAGAATCAAGAAAGACTAGTTAAAAAGTATGGGAAGCCAGAAGACAAACCAAGAGACCAAGGGACAGGTCAATGAAGACATGGGATGATAATATAACCTTTATCCTAGAGACACGAAGAATCAGCAAAGAACAAGTAAGAAGCCAAGCAAAGAATAAGAACGAATGGAGAAAAATTGTACATGAAATTAACTAAAGACATTACACCCGACAGCTTAGGGTAAATGGGTTTAGGATTATATATATATATATATATATATATATATATATATATATATATATATATATATATTATATATATTATATATATTATATATATTATATATAATATATAAATATATATATATATATATATATATATATATATATATATATATATAATATATATATTTATATATATATATATATATAATATATATATATATATATATATATATATATATAATATATATATATATATATATATATATATATATATATATATATATATATATATATATATATATATATTTAAAACTAACATACTTCAAATCTATGCCCCGACTGCACTTAGAAAATATGACGATGAAGTCGAGAAGTTGTATGATCAGATCCAAAACAGCTTACAGAAACTTAATAAACACGAAATTTTATATATTATAGGCGACTTCAATGCAAAAATTGGGGAAGGTCGACGAGATCAGACTTTAGTTCCTTATAGTCTAATCTAACGATCGAGGACAGAGATTGTATGATTTTGTAAAGAAAACGATATGATTATTGCAAACACCTGGTATAAACTACCCAAGCGACGACTATACACTTGGAAAGTCCCATTTGATGATGGCAATTATCCTGAGTCCTCAAGAAATCAAATAAATTATATACTTGTAAATTAGCGTTTCCGAAATGCCGTCAAAAAAGTCGCTACTTTTCCTGTGGCAGATATCGTATCTGATCATCAACCACTTGTAGCAGATATTAAAGACATTACAAATTAAAAACATTAAAAAAGAATTTAACAATAGAATAAAAAGCATCGGAAAACAACTAGAAGATCCATAAGAACTATGAAGTGAATTTAAAAACCAAGTTATCCCCATAAACAATGATTATAGAAAAAACTTAATCAAGAAAAATAAATGGATGACAGAGGAGAGCTTGAAATTAATGAATTAATGGATCAACGTCGACTAATAAAATCTAATGAAACAAAATATAGACACCTGCAGAGAATAATAAAAAAAAGATCAAATTAGCAAAAGAAAAATGGATAAGAGAAAGGTGCGGAGAAATGGAGGATGTAATATCTAAACACGACTTATTTAATGTGCACAAAAAACTAAAAGAAATAAGTAACATATTTAAAAAACGAGTTCCCTCTGTACTCGTTGACAATAATAACAAAATTATTGTAAATGAGCACGAAATAAGAAAAGAAAGGCAGCTGTATATATCAGAGTTGTTTAAATATGACAGGAATATTGCCGAATTTTAACAAAACTGTACTGAGAGCCCAGAAATTATGAAATACGAGGTAGGACACGCTATAAATAATGCTAAAATTAGAAAAGCTTGTGGTCCAGATGATACAACAACTGAGTTGCTGAAACTAATAGAGGATGATAGCAAAAAGTAGTAGTAAGACTTTTTAATTCAATATATAGTACTGGGGTGATTCCCACAGATTAGCTCAAATCCATCTTTGTCGTAATACCTAAAAAACACAATGCGAGCAAATTCTCAGAATATAGATTAATTAGCCTAATGGGACACACTCTTAAAATTTTCCTAAGAATACTTCACAACAGAATTAGACGCAAATGCAAAGAAGGTCTGAAAGATACCCAATGGGTTTTAGAAATGCTATGAGAACCAGGGAGGCACTTTTTGCGCTTAACATCCTATTACAAAAATGACGTGACCAAAGAAAAAATGTATTTGCATGTTTCGTGGACTTCGAAAAGATATTCGATAAAGTATAGCATGTAAAATAATGCAAATACTGAAAAATATCGAAATAGATGACAAGGATATTTGTGTCATTAAAAATTTGTACTGGAATCAAACAGCTCTCGTAAAAATTTGAGATAACTACACCGATGAATTCTCCATACAACCAGGAGTCAGACACGGTTGCATTTTGTCGCCAACATTGTTCAATGTTTACTCGGAGCAGTTATTTAAAAAGGCTCTTGAGAGACACCCATGTGGAATAAAAATCGACGGGGAACTACTTAATGTGATTAGATATGCAGACGATACAGTAATTCTATCAGATAAAATTGAATAATATATTCTGTCAGATAATGTCATTAAAAAGATCTACCAAGGCGTCTATATTGTCTTCACTCATTGTTAGAACCTCAATGCATATGTCGTCTGGGCCTGGTGCTTTTCCCCATTTGCTGTTTGATTACCCTTACAACTTCTGACTTCAATATTTTGGGAGAGGGTTCACTTTTATATTCACTTTCAGAGTTTCTTTTAATGTTGTCTGAGTAGAGTTGCTGAGTGTAGTTTCTCTAAGGTTGAAGTAGATCCTTGGGATCAGTAATTAATTTATTGTCCTTCACAATACTGTTAAAACTGCAAGGTTTTGTATGACCTGTCACTTTTTTAACGAGTTTATGTATATTGAAGTGGTCATGTTTTTCTTTCAATTCCTCCATTTCTGCACACCTGTGCAGCAGCCACTGTTCTTTAGCTTTGCGACACTCTTTTCGTATTTGTCGGTTCATCTGCTGATGTTTGGTTCGGTCTTTGTTTTTAAATGATCTGCGGTAGTCCATCATTGATAATATTATATCAGTCATCCAATTCTTGTTTTTGTACTTTTGGAAAGCGATCAGAGACTTGATGGTGGTTACGATAATCAGGTAATTAACTACTATTTTTCTTAATGTTAGTGACAATATTCCTCCTAGAGGGCACCCACTTAGTTGCCCTCAGGTTTGTAGCATCTTCATACGTATCTGTGGATATTAATCTGCTCTGAAGCATCCGAATAATCCACTTACATGATGTGTTATTAATTTTCCTCTTCATCAGCACACTATTGACTCGATACACTATTCGGAATAGAAGTAGGTATTATCAAATGAACTTTCGATGTATAAAAATGTAACAAGAGCGACTTCTTTCTGGTCTGAACTCAGTGGGTTTTTATTAGAATTTTTTTTCTTGATGTATGCATTCAAGATTTTTTCCATGGTTTTCAATATGAATGAAGTCAGACTCACTTGTCTGTACAATTTTGCTAAGTTATAATTTATTTTTCTGGTTTAGGAATAAAAGCCATTCTCGCTCTTCTCCAAGCTTTGAGAATGTACCTCAGAGATTGGTTAATTCTAAATATTTGGATTAGTAGTCTAGGGTATTATATATTTAATCCAAAATCGTAAAAATGAATATAGCATTTTTCATATAAAAAAGCTTGCACGTCATTCAAGATTTACGTCGTCAGAACCTCACAGCGTTGCCAAAACATCAGAACAGTTAGTAAGTGAGGAATTTTTAAAATGTCAACTATTTGTCAAACTCATGGACGTATCGTCCATGGTAAAACTATTATATTAACAGTAAATACACTTA